TGGTACATCTTCCGTCTCTTCAATCATCTCAAACTCGTGAGCTTTGAGATCTGAGATGAGTTTTTCTGTTGGATAAGTCTTCACATCCTTGCTTGCTTGAACAACAACCACCTTCATCTTCCATTCTGAGGGCAGACCTCTCAGCACTTTGAGGTTGCTCTCCTTGGTGGTGAGTTCTTTGCCAAGTTCAAAAATCTCTCCAGTGAGAGTGAGAAGTTTGTCATACATCTTGGAGATGCTTTCACCAAGGAGAAGTTTGAAGTCATCAAACTTCTTGTTGGCTATTTTTAGTTTATTGTCCTTTTCTTGCTCATCACCGACTCCTATGAGATCAAGAGTATACCATATTTCCTTGGCAGTCTTGCATTTCTTGATCCTGTTGAAGTACCTATCATCAATGGACTTGTAGAGGATGCCCTTTGCTATGTTATCAAGATTGTACTTTCTTCTTTCTTCAGTGGTCCACTCAGATTTGGCTTTGTCAATCATTTGTGGTCTTGTGTTATCAATAGCATGTTCAGGATTCACCTTCTGGAAGTTGGTGAATGGCCCTAGGTCAAGAACTTCCCACATCTCATCATGAAGATCACAGAGATGTGCCTTCATCCGGATCCTCTAGTCATCAAACTTAAGATATGAAAACATAAGATTCTTGGAAAGAGAGTGATCCATAGCAAGAAAATTTAAGGAGGTTAAAAACAAGTGGATCTTTGTTCAGTAGGTAACCTAAGAGATTATAAGAACAAGGAGGCTCTGATACCACTTGTTGGTCCCGGTTCTCCAAGGTACAGTCTAGAGGGGGGTGAATAAACTGTACTGGTTTTTAACTTTTTCAAGCTAAGTACCAAACTTAACAGAATAGCATGTTCTGTTGAAGAACAGCGTGACAGCGGATGGTCTTCTGATATGGGTTCTGTCTGGTTAGCCTCAAAGAGATGCAAAGGCAGTAGACCTTCTGTTAACTCACAAGACTAGTTTTGCTAAACACAGAGACCAAGTCTTTTGGAGTTAAGCAGTTGAAAGTGAATGCAGGTATTAAAAGCAGTAAGTAAATGACACCAGGGATTTTTATAGTGGTTCAAGGAACAACGTGTTACTCTAATCCATTGTTCCACTAAGCTTGTAAAAACACAGATTACACAGCTTTAGTCCTAGCACTTAAGAAGCTCTACACGTCTTCTTCAAGTGTAGATGTCTCCTGAGATTCACTTACTTGCTTCTTTTAAGACTGGTCCTTTCACTGAGTTTCCTTGAAGTATCCCCACTTCACTACTCCAGTTACTTTGGATGTCCTTCTCTTATAAGAAGATTGCTTTGTAAGAACAGAGGTTTCTCCAACTTGCTTCGTCACAAAAGATATGTATATGAAGTGTTTGAAGTGTTGAAGAACTGGAGGAACGTTGCTCTTGTTGGAATATGAAGATGTGAAAATATTATCTTTCCAACGTAAGGCTTTTCTTGTTGATGAGGATGAAGTAGATATCTCAAGAAAGCTTGTTTGAATGTTGTAGATAGAGAGAAAGTTATCCGGTTGTTCTTTGTGTAATATCATATATACTAGGGTTATCTTCCCGTTGGAGGAGGAAGACAACTGCATTAAATGCGCGTACTGTGGAGTTGACCGGTTTGGGACCTGCAAGGTGGGCGAGTTACTATTTTGGGATAATATGCTCCAGGAGTGTCGGCCAATCATCACCTTTAATTTTACAGTGTATGGAGCTCATTAAATGAGCATTAAATGCTATGTCATGTAGCTTTTCTGTTGAGGTATCCTAGCTGTTGAGGGAATCTTCCATTGAATTAACCGACTTAGGTAGCTTGAGAAATGTCTAAGTGTGAGGGTTTCTGGTGCACTTGAACAGAGGGGTAATCAAAGAAGTCCTCGAGCACTTCTGTGAGGATAGGGGCTAACAGAGGACCTGGGGATCTTCTGTCCAGACGACTATACTAAAGTGCTTACACTAAAAAAATAATTCTGATACAAAATACTAATGGGGGTACCCTAATATTCTAATGATTCTAGCATCATCAAAATCTAAATACAATTATTCCTTACAGGTTACATTCTGGAGGAGATATAGGTCAAACAAACAAAAAGTGAAGATGAATCCCATGTGGGTCTGGAACACTTCAGAACATTCATTCTAGAGGCGCCATCAGACTTCATTCAAGCTGATCAAGAGCACAATCTGAAAGGCAATGACTTACAAGCAAGATTTTGAAGAATCCATCGACCCCCGACATAAAATTTCCAAGAAGACATCAAAGGGGATATTGCAAGGATTTCTTCACAACACTTTTCCAAGAAGACATAGGAAGTTGAGCTACATTGAAGAAAGAGATAAAGATAATTCATGCTTCATTGCAAATTGAACACAAAGGGGGAGCTTGTTAGAAAAAAAATTATTGTGTTCAATTTAATTAGATTTATCTTGGTCTATTAGAATTAATTAGTGGGCTTTTATTTAATAAAGTGGGCTTCCTTATGCAATTAGATGTTCGATTAACCTCGCTTGTATAAAGGCTCATAGGTTAATCGTACAACCTACCGATCACCAGACGCACTATTCTTTATTATTAGCACTATTATTCTGTAGTGGAAGAGTAGATCGAAGTGATTTTTAGAATACTCTATAATGTTCATTCATAATCATCATCAAATATTATATGAAAGTTGTTTTTGTCTGATGATATTGTTGTGTTCATCGTATGATTATCGTTGAGATTAAATTAACAGATTGAGAGGCAAAGACTAAGTTATTGGAATAGACACAATATCAATAACTAGACTTAGTTGAATGTTTGTTGAATGAAAGGACCATCACTATGAGCTCTATATTACAGAAAGTTTTAATAGTTCTCGCAAATGTCCTTATGTATTGAGTTTGTCTGGATAATCGTCTAGGGATTCGCTAAAACCTTAATTTGATTAGTGCTTAATATATAAGGTGATATGGATCACCAACGAGTGATTATACATTTTGATTGAGTAAAATTTAATTCATAATGCTAAAAATAAGATGAGTTAATTATTAATTAGATTAATATATTTAATTCATCATGTTGAATTATTTATACTTTTTTATCTTTTTGATAGAATTAATTAGGTATCTAACCAGATTTATTATACTTAATTAAGATGTATTTATATTAATTAGGGAATAGGTTGTCTGGCACATGTTATCTAGGGTTATAGCTAGAGGAAGAAGGGTTGATAGGCTCTAGGTTCCCGTAGATCAAGTGCTAGTCTGGGAGATGAAAGGTTTCGACGGATTTGACGTTGCAGTAGGCATTGATAGGCTTTGAGCCACGGACAGTAAACCTGTAGGTCCGGGCCCAACTTGCAATGATTCTGGAAAATAACATGCCGGAATGGAGGGAACGGATGTCACAACTAGGAAAAGGGAAGTGTATGGTATGACCATAAAGATTACTTGGGATTTTGGGTGATTGAATGATGATAAGCCCAAAGTCGAGGAGACATGCTCGGTGGTGCTGGCAAGTGGTTCAGTCGTGACAGGGGAGAAGCCAAATTCTAGCCTTGTTGCTGCAGCTGATGCATCACTTCTTTTGCTGATTCTAGAGTTTGAAGTTATGGATGCTACTGACTGGATTTGAGATCTTAAATGACGTTCTCCCTTTGGATGCATGAAATCCTATGGGCCATGTCACATCGTATCTCCTCTTTTGTGGCATCCAATTGTTTGTGAAACTCCGTCATCAACGAATTGTTGGTTCCTTCCATTGAAAATAGGTTTCTTGTACGATTTCCCAAAGGCGGTGCCAAATTGTTTAACCAAATTCTGGTAAGCTAAAACTAATTGAAATGAAAATTATCTATTGATAGAGCTTCCCATTCGAACAATACAATGAATTTCACTCTTAGTTTCAAGACTTATTTGCTTACATCTTGTTTTTTCTGTTGTTCTTGTACAAATCTTGATCAATTTACAAATCGTATATTCAGAATCACTTTTTGGTATAACAGGTTTTTGAGAGCCTTAAAAAAGAAATCAAGTTACTAATAAAGCACATGTGGGGACTTCAATATGTCAAGCATAAAAAAATCTCCACATTTTCGTCTTTTTATAATGAGCGGGATGTGATTAAATAAAAGAAAAAGACCAACTCGAAATGATGACATTGGCGAGGACTCATATGACAATGTAGTTTCAATCTTCAATTATCTGGGTAGAGGTAAAAGAGCTGCGACTTACCGCTACATTGTGAGTGAAGAATTTCGGACTGCTTATACTTACATCTTAATGAATTGTGATTTTTTTATTTTCACATTTTCAAAGAGTGAAAATGTCATATTCATGTCATTTTAAGAGGGAAATGGCAAATTTTACATAAAATTGCATTTTTTGCCGATTGGAGGAGGCATTGTTGGGCGGTGGCCGAGGTCGGGGGAAAACCCTCCATATTTTTTTGTATTTTCTAATGTGTTTTATCTATTTTTATTTACTTTTAAAGGTTTTTTTAAAAAATGTTCTTTTTAGCTTTTATTATTTTAATATATATTTTTAAATTTGTTATATTTTAGTTAAAATATTTTTTTATTTCCTTATTACAAATTTAAATCAGGTATATTTTAGTGCTATTTTCTATTTAAACCTCATAAAAAAAGAAAACAACACTCATAAAACCAACATTAATTCCTACATCCACGTCCAAAAGGTTGAATCCCCAACCCCAAGGGTCCCCCCACCCCGACCCGACAGGATGGTGGGGGAGTAAATCACGGTGACTCAGTCGGCCAAGCGGCAGTAGGCCTTTACCCGTGCGCACCAGAGGGTCAGCCTTATTTCAGGTTCTGAAAACCCCCTTTTGGCCGCTGCGAGATTCGAACCTTGATCTACGTCCAATTTTTCACACCGTTCGACCAACTGAGCTACCCGTGCGGGCCAATCCCAAGACCCACAATCTCGACCCGACAGGATGGTGCCCAACATTAATTCCTCTTATGAGATCATGCGGCCCATTTGTAGTTCTAAAGGCCGGGTTATAACAGAACAGGCTTTAGGGGTTTTGAGCTTGTTTGGAGTGCGGGGTTTTTCTTGTCACTCGCTCGCTGAGCTTCGGAAGGCTCCATTTCTTCTTGGCGTGAGAAGCCGCATTTGTAGAGGAAGTAAATCGGCAATTTCATATTTTCTTCAAAGGCGAACTTCAACCTGCATACTAGGTAGGATCATAAACCACAGCCGGCACGCTCCAGAAATGGCGACCTCAGTCCCACCTCTTGCCGGTACTGTTCCACCCACCTATCCAAAACCGGTGGAAACTCAACCGGAAAAGCTGGACTACATGAATCTTCCTTGCCCCATTCCCTATGAAGAAATCCAACGCGAATCATACAGTCAGTGTTTCAGAACTCTTTAACTTTAGCAATCGCATTTTATGTTTTCCCGACTTTTGAACTTCTGTTTGCTGTAATCCACCTGGATTGCAGGTAGCTTACATAGCAAAGTGTATACGCCACAAATGTGCCGTTCTTTTTCTTTCAAATTTCCTCCTTTTCAGTTATAAACTTATAATCTTACCGTTTCATCTCAATTATGTAACGTTTTGGATTATAACAAGAATCATGGAAAACAGATCATGAGTGCCTCCTCACCCTGTTATGAAATTGCACTCTACAGAAGTAGCATTTTAGTTTAGCCCCCCCACATTACTAAACTCGACTACTACCTTATATGTGCTATTCATCCTCCCAAGTTGCATATCCATAGTATAGTTTTGTTAAGCTAGACTCAGTCTTATTGCTTCCTATCCATATAATTTTGTTCATTGAAAGTGTAAAATTGTAGTAGTGCTTTTGATATTTCTCAGTTTCAGACTTGGAGTTCTGTATTTGGCTGTAAATGGGATGGATTCTTTACTCTTCAATGAAGTCAAACTTTATGTATGTGTTTACTGATATTAGCTCAAAAGTTCATGATATGTGTTTATATATACAAAAACTAATCGGCATGATGCAGTGAGCAAGTTTACTTATTATTGTTGTTGATGTTAATTTATTTTACTTGATACCTGAGTCTAGAGTTTCTAATAGTTTTAATTAGGTTTTAAATCATCGAGTTCCAATGTACTGATTTCATTTTCTCTTTGTTCCTTTGGCAGTGTCATTGAAGCCGGAACTTTTTGAAGGAATGCGCTTTGATTTTTCGAAAGTACTAAACCAGAGATTTTCTCTCAGCCACAGGTACCTTTATTATTCCCCGCTGGAACATGTTTAACTTAAGGTTAACTTTATAATCTCAAATGGAAAGAAAACTGCTACAATGTATTTGATTTAGATTTTTTCCTTTTTCTTTATTTGGCAGTGTGTTTATGGGACCCACAGAAGTTCCTTCTCAGTCCACTGAAACAATTAAAATACCAACTGCTAATTATGAGTTTGGTGCAAACTTTATAGACCCACAGGTATATAGGTGGAATAGTTTTGTCATGCATGCCTAGAGTTCTTTTAATGGAAACTAATTGTAGGCATAATGCTTGCTTGTGACAGTTGATGCTTATTGGGCGGCTGATGATGGATGGGAGGCTAAATGCTAGACTGAAGTGTGATTTGTCCGAAAATCTCTCTCTGAAAGGAAATGCTCAAGTAAATACGATAGTATATAATAATCTCTATAGTTAGGATCTAATCTGTTTTTTATTTATATATGCTGAATCGCTGATACCCCAGTTATATTTGATACTAATCTCACATATTCCTATTCTCCTTGCCAGCTTGCATCTGAGCAACACATGTCACATGGCATGGTCAATTTTGATTATAAGGTGATTGTTTTTCCATTCTGCCTCTTTTATTCATGTTTTTTAATAAGTTTTTGCTTTCGTGATAGTGTTATATCTCTTTTCTTTCTTATGGTATACATATTCGGAAAAAAAAATGGGCAAAATATAAGTGATACTCCTTTCCGTTGTACCAAAATAATAATAGAAGTAATAATGTGTTCTGAGTTTGTCATTCTTGTATTTAAAGGGAAAAGACTACAGGGCTCAATTTCAACTTGGTAGTGGGGCATTGCTTGGAGCCAGTTACATCCAGGTATTAGTAAGCACATAATGTGTATGAAAGTGTAAAATAAACTAATTTGGTCGTCATCCTTCAACTTCTTAATGTTCTTTTGATGGTGCTAGATTTATGCATTTTATTCTGATCATCATTAGAAATGCTTAAATTGGTTGTCAATTTTTTCATTTTCCTTTTCATTTACCCCAGTGCCGCAAAGGCTCCCACCTACGGTGGGGTAAGGGGGGGGGCAGATGTACGCAGTCCTACCCCTGTACTAAAGCACAAAAAGAATGTTTCTGGATGACTCATAGTGAAAATTGCGTCCAAAATTGCATGGATTGACTGCTGCTCCATAACAAAGAAGCGCAGACAGTTTAGTGAGCCATTTTGCTTTATTCCATCATAATCTCAAGCCAAAAAATAATGAATCTTTGGCTCCATTGCAAATGATAGAAATTAGGTTGTCACATGATGTAAATAAATTTAGGGAAAAGTAAGGGAAATGTACTTGTGGTTGGGCCCGTTTTCACAAGAGGGTCAGCACCGTTTTTGTGGTTGGGCCCGTTTTCACAAGTACCTTTTCCGTACTTTTCCCATAAATTTATTATATGGAAATTGGGCAGTCTGCTGATTTATGTATTTAAGCTATCTCTGTCCCAAAAAAGGAGTCCTATTTGACCAATGTTCAGCTTTTCTGTTTTGGTAAGGTGCAGTTGTCATAAATCATGAATTATACTGTTATACATAAATACTGCATTTTAGATCTATTTTGTTGATAATAATTTTATTGTATGTAGTTTGCTTGTGACATGTTTAGGTCACCTTTTAGGTCAAAAGAAGGGTTTGAAAGATGAATGATGGATGTATTAGTTTGGTTTAACTTTTTGTATTCTTTGGTAGAGTGTGACTCCAAATTTATCACTTGGCGGTGAAGTCTTTTGGGCAGGCCAGCATCGCAAATCTGGCATTGGCTATGTTGCTCGGTACAACACAGACAAGATGGTATTGTCATTTATATTCGAAGTGTTCTGTTCAATTATTGTTACTGCATGCCGTGATTCTGTGGTTCAGCCACTAATGTCAGGTTGTTTGATGCAGCAGTAAACTTTAGTACTGAAGCGTTTCATTTTCTTTTCCAGATCGCTACTAATTCGTTCATCTGATGTTGTGCTTAACATTGTTAGCCATTCTACCTACAGGTCGCTGCAGGTCAAGTTGCTAGCACAGGAACGGTTTCACTCAGTTATGTTCAGAAAGTCTCCGAGAAGGCAAAAACATTTTTACTTCTTTTAAAGATGGTCTGTACCTCTCTCTTCTTGCAATTTCTTAGAAATGTTTCTTCTTTTCAGGTTTCTTTAGCATCTGATTTCATGTACAACTACCTATCAAGAGATGTTACAGCTAGTGTTGGTTATGATTACATTCTAAGACAGGTAATTATGATATCACAACTTTACAGAGCAATTTACATGCATGCAGAGGAAGTAAAGTTTGAATTCTGAGCCTTGGATTTTTTTATTTGCAAAGTAGCGTGTTTTGGATGTAAGCAAGATAAAAGTTCTATAAGCATGATAATATCCTTATATTCGATTGAGCTCCTTTAGTTGAAGGTGCAGAGAATGGAACAGAATACAGTAAAGAAGGATCACAGCTATTTGTAAACAAGATTTTTTAATCCATGTCTTTTGTACTTTTGCTTTGTTATGGTGTAGTGGTTATGAACTACTTACCACTTTTGTGCGTTTACTAAATTTCCGGTATAAGAATTTTGCTATGTTTTTCTTTGGACTCGGGAAATATTTATAATACCTCTAACCTACTCAATTATTTAATAGGATTTTTTGCTTATGTTTTTATGACAGTGTCGACTTAGAGGGAAAATTGATTCCAATGGCTGTATCAGTTCTTTTTTAGAAGAGCGTTTGAACATGGGCCTAAATTTTATTCTCTCTGCAGAGGTAATCTGCTTCTGTATTGTTGTTGTCATCACCAGTAACAATCACGATTTTAATAGTGGCAAAATAATGTTCCCAATTTAATGTTTTCAGAGACTATTCATACAGTCAATTTAACTCAGAAGGATTATATTTTTTTTAATTTTCATGAGAACATTCACTTCTTATAAGTCTTGAGGAATGACTATAATTTCCAAAATAATGTCCCCATTTCTTGTGATTATGTTATGCAGGTTGATCACCTAAAGAAAGACTATAAATTCGGATTCGGGATAACAGTTGGAGAGTAGACAACCATTTGAGCTGCAATGGTTGAATCGTCTTTGCTTGTTAATTATTTTCATATTTAGGCAGCAGTTTTGTACTTTCTACAAATGGTTACTTTTAATGATTTCTCAGTTTGGTGTAATTGATTTCTTAGATGCCAATTTGTAGGGTGTAGAGATCATTTTTCAAAATCCAAGATTTGTTGTCAGAAACGGCTTTGGTGCATCTATTTTTTTAAGGATTTTGTAGCGTTCTTTATCAATAAAAAAGGCAATGACATACTCATACTTTCGGTGAAGTCTACTCAGTACTACGTATTTGTTTGGCAAGGGAAAAGCGTTGAATGCAATTGCAATGTTGAGCTTGTGAAAGCTCCATGACTAACGGAGTAAATTTTCAAATCCTTGAAGAATGAATTCTCAAATGAAATAAATGAGAATCCAATCGTACCAAATCAAATTAAAAATGAATAGTACTCTCTCCGGTCACAAAACAAATTCATACCGTCCTTTTTGGATAGGTCGAAAATAAAATTCACATTTCTACCTTTAACAACTTTTTACTATAAAGTTATCCTTATATCCTTATTTTATCATTAACTTTACACCCATTTTCTCTCACTACATTTTATCTACTTTTTGGAGGTCATAATGGGAAAGTCAAAACAAAAAATGCTACTTTTTTAAAAATCGTGAAGTCAAACTATGAATTTGTTTTGGGACCAGAGGGGTATGTAATTTGATTTGAATCATATTGAATTGAATTTGGGAAAGTACGAATAAAACAGAACCAAATTAAAAAAACCAATAAAATTATAACAATTTCTTAAAAATAACAAATTAAATTAAACTAAATTAATACGGAGTATAACTTTTATTTGATAGTCTTTTTCTCAATTTCTTTCAAACTGAATTACTGAATTGAAATCGATAACAGAAAAAGTGAAATTGATATTCTAGTGATGTGTACAACCTATTTGATTATGTTGAAAACTTGAAATTAGTGAAATTTTGATTGAAAAAATATTTTTCAAATATATTTTATTAATATTAAAAAAAGAAAGCCATATGAAAACTAATTTAAATAGTTCTCTTTAACAATTTCAGCCAATTCAGTTAGAATAATACATCAACTTCATTTATTTTAATTACTTAACAATTTAGCATACGAAATAAAAATTACTTTTTTGATAAAAAATTGGTTGATAAGCTAAAAAAGGTGCCAAACGGACTCATATTTGCAAAAGAAGTCGGCCAACTTGGTTATGTTAAACAATAAGTTAAAATTAAATAGAAGTGACAAATGTATTTTTGCAAAAAAAAAAATAATTATAATCATAGTCAAATACAACAATCAAATAAGTTGCATTTACAACTAAGACATTCATTAACATTTAACACAATCAAATGACTTTCCCAATAGCGGTTGTTTATTTTTTACACAAGTTCTATCCAAATTAAAATGTGTATCTGTATTAAACCAACTGGCCTTTGTGTAAGAGAGTGTTTATTTTTGTATACTACATAAACACTATTCCTTGGCAAAAGAAACAATAGAGATACCGTCAATTAAGTCAATCCCCTGGCAAGGCCATTAAGTTACAAGTAAACAACACAAAAATCTATTAAATCAAAAGCAAACAATCCCAGTGGATATTATAAGATCATTGTAGTTTAAGCAAAATCTCAGTAATAACTAAAACGTGATAATAATATTGATTAATGCCATGAAACAGCAATGAGAAAAGATCATGCCATACTTGAGCTGTGCGTACACTTTTTCCAGACCTATTACGATTTGCTAGCTTTTTGTTTTGCCTTCTCTATAAGAGGTCTCAACTGCTTCTTTTCAGCAAGAACCTTCAGGAAGTTGAACAAGAAGGGAATATAGTTGTGCTTTCTGCGGATGTTTTCGGTTTTCCATTTCTTGAACTTCTCTTCTTCCACCAGTATCTTCTCAGTAGCCACTTCAATGCCCGAGTTCACTTCCGTTAGTGTTTTATTCAGTGCCTCCACGTTGCTTCCATCCACCATAACCCTCTCTGATTGTAAAGCAGCCAATTGCTGAAGAATCCTTTCTCTTTTCCTCTGAAGCTCCTTCAACTCAGCAGTGTACATTTCTTTCCTGTTCTTGATTATGGCCATCAGGTTGAACCTTATTTCGTTCCTCGAATACCTCTCAATCCTTTCCTGAATCACAGGCTGAACCAATCGCAACCACTCGGAATCCTCATTCGGCCCACTGGGGCATTGTCCAAGGCTGATGGGCCCTTCTTTCAGCCCGTCAAGCTCGTACAGTATGCCGTCGACTGGAATGTAACTTATGAAATGATAGACATCGTCGTCTTTCCCTGCAGTTTTCTGCTCCTCAGGAACGAACGGCTCTGGTCGTGCGAAGCTGTTATGGGCAGCCCGGATCGAATCACTGTTGTTGATGGCTAAGCCCTTGAGCTCGGGTGGGAAATTCTTTGTGAAATCTTTTAGCTGAGAAAGTTCTGGGCCTATGTCAATGTCTGGGCTGTTCAGAAGGATTGACAGGATTGCTTGGGTGGCACATGCATTATTGATAACCTGGTTTCATATTATTTAAAAAATTGATATTTGGTTAATGATAGTGCTTCAATATGACCATATTCATCTAGTATAAGGCAATTTTGTAACCATTCCCCATATTTATCACAACACTCGACTTTACACTCATGTTTTATTAATTGAAAACCCGCAATTTTGGCTTCTTTTAATTATACAAATGTCATCATTCAAATGTGTATTGTTGTAAATGTAGTCCCTTCCGGTAATAGTTTAACAAATTACATTTCTAGTTTTCTACATTTATTAAAGACAGATTACAATTACAATATATGGCACAATTAAGGGACAACTTTTGCATAATTTAAAAATATACTCATTGCATATAGCGGAATAAATGAGACCAAAAGTGCAATTTCCCCTTTACTTATTTTTACCTTTCACCCCATGTTTTATTGTACTTTTAACTTTTGCCTCCTAAAGGAACGCAGGGTGAGGGTGCAAATACTGAATAATAAAGGTATGAATGCAAGTGAAGTATGAATGTACTAGAGCCTGACCTGGCTAGCGAAAAATAAGTTGGGGTTGGGATCCTTGATCACTAGACGGTCATCTTTTTCGCCAGGGCGCCACTTGAAAAGAAAAACTAATCCATAGATTGGCCTGTTTAACCGAGATATATGATTGTAATTAAAAAAGATTGTCAGATCAAGTTAGCAAGTAGCGGCATGGCCCGAGCATTAAATGAATACTTATTGCCAATATCTCAGAAACAGGCACAACTTTGCCATATCAATGAAATCACCTAAGGTCATTGAGAGCATCAAGGTCCAATGTATACAATTCTTCAACCTGTTAGAAGAACAAAAATGTGTAAGAATACATATTAGCCATTGAATGCAATTTGACAACAATCAAGGGTTCCAAAGACCTAGGTACGAAGTATATAAATACAAACAAGATTAAATGAATTCATCCATGTCAAGAACTCAGGGGAACATATATGACATGCAATGAAGTTTATCTATTGTAAACAGTGACGGTCAATTTCAAGGAATCTAATATTGCATGACTATTGAAGGTAAAATCTTGGTAACAAAAGAGAAAACAAGAGTGCCTTCAAGAAACAGATAAACTTGAAATCCAAATCAAGCTACTCCAAGAGGAAAACAAAATATCATTATGATTTATGAGAAGCAGCAAAAAGGTTCTTTTGGGGGGGTACCTGCACTCCTTTTACTTGCATCTGCTGAATGAGCTCAGTGAAAACCCCTAAAATGCAAGAAAAATAAAGAAACAGACATCTCAATATTTAGAGATACAAAATCTTAAAGAGTGTTGAGTAAGTGGTATTGAGAATTCTCCACAAGAAATATAGGTGCCAAACCACATAGAGTACATGTTAATCACAACACCTTAAAGTTAAAATGAAAGCATGGAACATCATTCACTCCATTCAGTAATCAGTACAGATATCATTTAAAATGAAAAAATTTATATTAAACATAACGGTAATTGTAAAGCATCACCATTCACACAAAGCTACTGCACCTGAACAACAAAACCCTAAAGAATCAAATTGAAATTTGTGCGAACATACCGGGATCAGATTCAATGGTACACCAAGACATGATGGTTAAACTTTACTGCAGTGAAGAATCTTCTGTCTATATAAAGAATGCTGTTTGCTCTGCCAAGTTTCTCACCAAAACTAACTGAAGAGAAATATCAAAGACAAAAGTAGGTTATCCAGTTAAGAAAAAGTTAACAAATATAAAGTAGACTCTCTAGGGGCAAGGTCTTGTGGTGTCTTGCCTTCATGCTCTCAGCTATTTTTTACTTGAACTCTTGAAGTATCAAATTATTTTCATAATTACTTTACTTTTTTGTCTTGTTTTCAACAGAATGTACTAAGGGAGAGGAGTTGTGCAGAGCAATACAAAAGGGCTACTTTGTGGTTCTAAGGGGGTGTTTGGAACCGATTCTGCTTCTGCTTCTTTTTTAAAGCAGAAGCAGAATCAGAATAAGTTTTCAGAAGCTGGTCTCCCCCAGCTTCTAAAAAAACTGATTCTAGGAGTAAATTAAAGCACCAGAAATACTTCTGCACTTTCACCCAAACACTCCAACTTTTGCTTCTACTCCTTCAGGGACCAGAAGCAATTTTAAGAATCAGATCCAAACACTCCCTAAATAACATAATTCATTTTTATTAAAATTTATCCGACACAAAGATTGAGAGATGAAATCAGCTGGCGCTCGAACACTTTTGACTGAACTAAAAATGTTCACCTTGGTCACACAGCAATCCAACTTCTCTGTGTAAAGGTTTTACTTTATGCCTGAGCAATAAGGATCTGAAAAAAATGTAGATTCCCTCATTCCCTAATGTAAATAGATAATATCAAATATCTTAGAGCCAGGCGTGATAGACTGAATATCTCCTGATTTTCTGAGTAACAGTTTTTGGTAAACTCCAATTCTGCCAAATATTAAGCTAAGATTTTTTTCGTTCAACCTGAGTCTTAATGTAAATTGTAATACATGTTCCAAATATTTTAAAAGCTGAAAGAAGCCGATTTAGACAAAAAAAACATACAGTGGAATCCGTCTGTTGTAAAGAAATCAGTATGTTTAGAATTGCAAAATTGTAACAAAGCAAATAGAGTAATAATCAAAATCTGATAATTAGAAACGTATAGTGGTTCATACACATCTTCGACAATATAGGGCTAATAGGAGTGTACAATCAAAATAGATTCAAAAAAGATATTTGTACTTATATTTGTACACACTCTTATACACACTTTTGTACACACCGATGTCTGTGAAAGCTTTTTTTTTTCTGTGAACATTGATTCACAGACAATGTTTTGCACAAACAAAATATTGTCTGTGAACCGGATTCAAAGACAAAAAAAAGCTTCACAAACATGATGTGTATAAGGTGTGTACAAGAGTGTGTACATCAAGAATGGTTCATTATATTTTACATTTGGGCTGAAGCCCAATATCTAATTGTATGATCAATCGAGCATGATATCACAAGCTTCCCTGGCTATGGCCTCTTTCCGATTCGACAGTTCACCGTTCTTTCATATCGTATCCAGGTATATCGTTCATTTACGCTTCATCTTATGCCTTTGCTGCTTGAACATCCACCTCCGCTCCAAAATTCTGTACTGTTCAGCTATCCGAATATGAAACCCAGCTAGTCAATGTATCTATACTTTAGATGGTCAAAATTGAACTCTGCATATTTCCTATTAGCCCTATATTGTCGAAGATGTGTATGAACCACTATAAGTTTCTAATTATCAGATTTTGATTATTACTCTATTTGCTTTGTTACAATTTTGCAATTCTAAACATACTGATTTCTTTACAACAGACGGATTCCACTGTATGTTTTTTTGTCTAAATCGGCTTCTTTCAGCTTTTAAAATATTTGGAACATGTATTACAATTTACATTAAGACTCAGGTTGAACGAAAAAAATCTTAGCTTAATATTTGGCAGAATTGGAGTTTACCAAAAACTGTTACTCAGAAAATCAGGAGATATTCAGTCTATCACGCCTGGCTCTAAGATATTTGATATTATCTATTTACATTAGGGAATGAGGGAACTTCAATGTAAAATTAAATTAATAAGCACTTACTATCATTACAAGATACACTAATTAATTAATTGCGCTCACATTCTGTTTCAAACGATTCACGTCAGATACAATATCCTTCATGTACTTCATCACAAAGTAACCACACTCAACTCCTCCTGTTTGCTTAGGGCACTGCATATATTCAATTTAAATAGACAGTAAATACAAACTAAGATTTACTAAAAACAAAGAGCAAGTTATAGTAAAAAAATAATACAGTCAAGTATTGAATGTATTGCAATAATTCACTTCTTTGGGCACTGCATATATATTCAATTTAAATAGACATTAAATACAAACTAAGATTTACTAAAAACAAAGAACTTTGGAGGCCCTAGATGAAAAAAATAATATCAATAAATTATGTTAATGTCATCCTATAACAAAAAATAATATATATATAGATATTTAGTTTGGTCTTCTATATTTTTTAGTGAGAATCACAAATCAAACAAAATAACTAATTTGCTATGATCACGGAAAGATAGATAAATATTTATATTGGATGGGTCATTTCTTGTTGACTTAGCAGCTTCAGAAGCCGTGGCTGGAGTTCCACCTTCTATTTCAGACTGCAGTATATAAAAAAATTTATCTTTTAAGCATATTAATTAACTTAAGTCTGAAACATACTAACTGTAAACATGTAAACATGTTGTACATGTAAACATATTAAGCATATTAACTGTTAAGCATACTAACTTAAGCATATTAACTGTTAAGCATACTAACTTAAGCATATTAACTGTAAACAAGTTTAATATTAATTGTTAAGCATACTAACTTAAGCATATTAACTGTAAACAAGTTTAATATTAACTGTCAGTAATGTTGTACATGTAAACATATTAAGCATATTAACTCTTAAGCATACTAACATGTTTTACTTATTAACTGAAGTCTGAAACATACTAACTTAAGCATATTAACAGTAAACAAGTTTAATAAGCATATTAAGCATATTAACTGTTAAAGTGTTAAACTGTAAAACAAGTTTAAGCATATTAACTGTTAAACTGTAAACAAGTTTATGTGTATAATTGTATAAGCATGTAATATGGCTTTGAAAGGTTTGACAGTTTCTTATAACTTAACAGATTCTTAAACAGTGCAAGCTAAACTTTCTAAGTAGTGAGATTGTAATATGGAATCATGAATACTGTCATGTGACTTGGTTAGTAAAATGAAATACATAACTGCTCAAGCAATATCCACAATGAGAGTTTACTTCATACCGTCAAGTACTATAACTTTGTTATCCTTCCCCTAAAGGAAAAAGTACACTTTTGTTTTACTTACATGTTGTGAACTTAATAATCATATGCTTGGAGATTTTATCCCTGAGGTTGTTGATGACTGGAAATTTTGTTAGCTTAATCTGAATTCCTGGATCCAGTGATCACAGTTCTTAATAGCCTTCAAAATGGGAAATATAAAACTAGAGCTTCATTGTATATGATGTGATATAAATGAAAATAACAAGATATAGCATGTCTTGCTTACATGAGTTGGCTACAAGTGCAGTGGAAATCCAGATATAGCTCAACAAACCTCATAATTTGTGTTCAATATTCTTTTAGTTTTAACAGAATATGAAAGGTTTGACAGTTCAATATCTTAAAATCTCTGAGTAATAAGGGTAATAATGATTTCATGGTTAATAGTTTACTACATTACATCATTGGCACCTTGAGCCTCTGAGTGGGTAAATTCATCATCAGTATAGTAGCTGAATTTGCATGGTTTACAGATTTTATCTAACTTTAGTCATGTATGGACTAAAATTTTGCCAAACTCTGATTGATTGCTTATACGAAAACTTATACACTTAAGCATGAAATTACTAAAATGAAACCATTATACTTCAATAACTTTGGTTCTTGGCATATCTGAATATCTACTATGTGATTGCACAAGCCATATCATGTTATAGCACTGCACTACAATGCTACTCATATACTCATATAAATATGATGTTATGTCATGTTATTTTTTTTTTGAATAAGCCCAATAGGAATACCCAGCAAGCTCTTATATTGATATCAGAACAAGTGAAGTTATAGAAGATTGGTTGCCAATTCAATCCAAAAAGAAAACAAATAGCAATAACAAGAGAAAAATATCCAACACTGATTTCACAGACAAAAGTTGAACTACGAGTCTTATAAGGGGGGAACAGAACAGGAAAAAAAACATAAAAAAAAACAGAATCTGGGAGCATTATTGTAAGGATTATTGGAAGGATTTCATTATTAGATGATAAATTTGAAGGAGGATTATTGGAAGGATTTCATTATTAGATGATAAATTTGAAGGATTACTAAGGGAGGAAGTACATACCTAAAATCGACAATAATAGCTCAGGAAGAAGACCTAGCGAGGACCAACCGGCTGTGAGAGGCGCAGCAGACCGAAGAAACCGGAGGGTGAGGGAGCAGGATCGATGCAGAAACCGGTGATGGAGAATCGTGCGCACAGATAGCTAGGGTTAAACGGAACGGGAGAGCTAAGCTAGGCCACCGATGATTCTAGAAGTCGATCTGGAACGGGTGAGAGCTCATGAGGCGCTAAGTGTCGATTACTCCCTATTGTAAACTGATCTGGCCGGATGTGTAGTACGTAGCTGGGCCACGCGGCCCATCGATGCCGGCCTTATTAGTTCCGTAAAAAATGTTTAAAGTGTCACTATTTGAGGCTGATGTATTTGTGTTAGTAAATAGTGACACTTTTATGTTATTAGGGTATTTATATCCGAAAGCGTCACTATAAAAGTGTCACTGTAAGCCAGTTTTCTACTAGTGAATGGTCCCAACACAGTATTTTTAAAGACAAAAAGTCTATTGTTACACACTTTCTATACACACACATACACACTATAAATACCCCAAAAATAATTTACCCCCTTTCCCCCTCAACCAATTTCAAAACACTTCAAAAAAACACCCGCTCCAAATTTTTCCCTTCTCCCTTGCTTTGTTTCTTCCGATTAATCCCCCGATGAAGACCAGCCTTCTCCCCTGTAACCCCCCGTCGTTCGAAACCCTCGACCCCGCTAACCCCGTCAACCCCATTCGAAGACCGTGGTCGCTGCGCATTCGAAGCTGTGAACCCTCCTCCCCGTCTCAGTCGAAAATGGTGCGAACCCCGCTATCAACCATGGCCGAAAGGTATGTATCCTTTATTTTTGGAATTTTTTTCAGTTTTAGGGTAGTTGATGATGTTTATTTGGAGGGTGAAGCAAAATAATATTGTTTATGAAGTTTTGGAACCCATCTATTGCTTGGATTTTGAACAATGTGTATTGTCTGTGTAAGGTTGTTTATATTTCGGTTGAAAGTCCTATGTATTGTCTGTGTGAAGATAGATTTGTCTAAGTGTTTGTCTGTGTGAGCGTATATGTAATTGGCTCTGGCTCTATTTGTCTGTGAAGACTTATATGATTGTCTGTATTACTCTTTTATAGTTCTGTGTGACTAATATGATGTTTGTACTGCTACACAATGCTATAAGACAAAAACAGGTGCAAATAAAACATATGTCTATGTGAGAGACTGTTTGTCTGTATGTAACTGAAAGCTTGTCTGTGTAATTTGACATATGTCTGTGTACTTATGGTTTATTTTCTTACAATGATAGGGCACTTCAACTCCAGATTCCTTCGAGCAAGCATTTCCCTGCACAATATTCTGTGTGCTCGGATGTGAAATGTGTTTCTAAGTACATTCATGCGATACTATCGAAGAAACAATTGGAATTTTCCGGCAGACACCATGGGGTCACTTTATTGATATTCCTGATATCCAGTTTTGTGGCCAAATAGTTCACATGTTGTTGTTACGGCCGGTGAAGCAGCAACCCGATAATGAGCTTTGGTTCAATGTTGAGGGTAAACTTATAGAGTTCACGTACAATGACTTCTGCCGCATAACTGGATTACCTCTGGCAGCCCCGAGGTCTTTTGTGGCTGAAGATAGTGACAACGATGATGAACAAGCCGAAGAAAAGGAAGAACCAGGAGAGATTGCTAATGCAAACTTTCATGGATCACCGGATATCACTTTCCAGATGATGAAGGAGAAGGTTCAATGGTTAGGTGGAAGTAAAAAAGGAATGGTATGCTAGGGGTGAAGCTTGCATCCCTCTTCGTAGTTGAGAACATGTTGATGGGAAGAGACAGAACAACGAGGATCAACCGGAGGTCGATTCGGCTTGCGAACGACTTTGAGGAGTTCAAGAAGGAACTGTGATCAAGAGATGCTTACCACTTGCCTGTCACACATCTGAAGGGTCTTCTTGATGGGCAGCCAACGAAGTTCTTGGACAATAAGGCTAACAACCCTGAATATAAAAACGCCAAGTTTTCGGTTTACGGGTTGCCATTGGTCCTACAGGTATGATCCCAGACACTTTCTGTCCTTCCCATACAGCTTTTTAAATGCACACATACACTTTATGTCATTCCCACACAACTTTTTAAATGCTCGCAGACACTTTTTGTCCTTCCCAGACTGCTTATTAAATGCTCACATAGATACATCCCAAACATTTTTTTAATCTGTGTCACTTAGGTGTGGGCGTATGAAAAAATTCCTAAATTTGGGGAACACTTTGGCACACGTGTTGGTAATCATGAAGTCCCAATACTAAATTGGTCATGTCATGGGAAATTCCGGTCATCTAAGATACGGGAAATTGTCTTTGCTGATGTAAGTGTTCTTACTTTGTCAATTATAATTGTCCCCTAATATATATATTTATATACGAAATCATGTTCATGTTTTCATAGAAGTTGCCTACACTCCCTTCTTCCGATGATGAAGATGAAGACAATATTGAAGTTGAAACAAGGGAAAGAGTTCAAGCAATGTGTTCGGACATTGATGAGATCAAAAGCAATCTTCAAAGCCTGGACAAAAAAGTGGAAGAGGAGCTTGGTGAACTGAAACACTTGATGGTTCAGGTTATTGATAGAGTCAACAAGGCTTTAAAGGAAAAGGTATAGACATCATTTGTCTGTGTAGTATTTTGTTGTGTCTGTATTTACTGCATATATGTTTGTATGTAAAATTACTATACGCTTCTCTTGGTTTGTAAGGGGGTCCTTCTGCCCCAAGTGAGCTGGAAGAACAAAAGAAAGTTGGTGCAACAGATGCTGAAGGGGAGAAAAGTAATGTTGTTGTTGGTGAACCACAACATTTGGTATGTTGTTTAACTTGTTTGTGTGCTATTTTTAGTGTCTGTATGTATCAATTTTTTTCCTGTATGCACATTTCATGTTGTCTGTGCAAAACTAATAAGTCTCTGTGGAATACCAAATGGTTAGGGTGAACTGGATAAATCTTGTCCTGATGTTACTGAACATCAAAATGTGTGTGCAGATCCTATTGTCAATGTTGCTGCTGAGGTTTGTTGTTTAATGTGCTTGTAGTGTCTGTAACTACCAATGTTTTGGCTGTATTTATATGTTGTGTTGTTTGTGTGTAAATGTTATATGTCTGTGATGTGTGTACATGCTTAGCCTGAAGGGAGAATTTTATTGCCGTTGATAGTGAGGCACACAATTCGGAAATAGATCCTGTAAAGATTGTAGTGGACGATGTATGTTTAAGGATACAGTCATACTGCTTGTGATATTTACATTGTTATTGGTTAAGAAAGATTTTGCATTAATCATTCCTAAATGAGGTTTACCTTCATTTCAAAGTTGAAGTGAGAATTTGACCAAAGTATGACAGGCCACATGTATGAGGAGTGTCACACTCCCACAAATCTTTTGATGTGCCTCAATGAGGTGCACATTGCGATTTCCAAAATGTTTTCATTTACACACACATTTCATAGGTCACACAGACAGTACACATGAAGTACACAAGCAAATTATAAATGTGTTCACCGACATATATTTGTGTGTGTAGGTTGAAGATGACAAGATCTCTGCTTTGACAGTTCCATTAGAAAACTTGGATTGGGATGTGGTTGGTGATGATGTTGGAACTGCTGGGGTAGACATGAAGTCCATTGAAAAGGTGAGTATGAAAGAATTGAGGAAGAGAAAGCGGTTCAAATCTAAGTACATTTGCAGCCCATTCATTGCGCCCGCGGCTAAGAGGCTTAAGGTTGGAGGAAGTGATGGTGAGTATGATTCTTTCAAGGCATGGGTGGAGGAAAATGATGGTATTGAACCTAGCGTACTTCACCTGTCGTTAAATGTAACCCTGTTGTTACCTCCATAGCCAATTCACATCCTTGGAGAGCGGAGGCAGTGGACGATGTTCCATAACAACACTCAGGGTACACTCATGTCTGTACACAAATACAATCTGTCTGTGCATAGAAATGTAATGTCTGTATGAATTATATTATTTTCAGATCCGGTGTTTGCGGAGTTATGGTAGCAGCGTTTGCGGAGGCACTTTTGCAGAAGTTTCCCTTGATTCCAGAGTGTGCGTATGAGAACATGGCAGCGAAAAGATGTGAATATGCATTGAGGCTCTGGAGTTTGAGGAAGCGATCAATGTAGACAAGTTTTAATGGGTGTGAATATTTAGTGTACGATGGTTGTGGATGTAAAATATTTGATGTAACCTTACTATATACATTTTTTGGTGGTTAGTTTTGGTCTGCATGGGTTTGGTTGTTAAATGTAGGAGGTTATACAATGTTACAATACCAATGTTGTACAATGTCCTAGAATGTACTCCCAAATATTACCAATGTTGTACATTGGTATGCTTTTTTGTTCTGTGGGAAACACTAACTGTCATTGGTGTTCATATAAACGGAAAAAGCTTTTTTGTCTGTGATTTATATCCACTTTGTCTGTGCTATGTACACTATAATATCTGTAACAAACACATTGTGTGTCTGTGAAGAACACACACTCTATCTTTGATGTGTGTTACTTTTGTCTGTGAAGAAAAAACACTCTGTCTGTGATGTGTGGCGTATTTGTGCAATGTGTCTGTGAAGAACAAGCACTTTGTCTGTGCATTAATACATAAATGTCTATTTACAAACTGCCATGCACATTTACATCAAACTAAGATTTAAATCTAAACTACTACAATTCATCATGTCATTAAGTCCACCTTGTCCATTGCCATCCTGAGAGGTCGGTTGTGGGGTACTTGCATTGTCGGTCCTAGCACTTGATTTCTTCTTCCCCTTCTCCAATGGTCCTTTTTGGCAGTTTTTCCTCGGTGCACCCTTACGCTTTGCACACTTCGGATCTCCAATGATTTTTGGAACCTCACCTTGCACACTAGTGCTCGCTTGTGGGATAGATGTAAGGTTGCCACATATGGAAGAAGGATGAACTTGGGGAGGAGTATATGTGGACAATTGAGACTCCAACCAAAGAAGAACACTTTGGTACTTTTCACCTTCGTGTACGCTCTTTTAACATCTTTCCTCCATCTTTTCAATAGGTAGACCTCAGGCAAGAGCTCCAATCCAAGGCGAAGTAAGACCACAATCAAGTGTCTACAAACCGTACCCCTAAATTCGAACAAGTGACAACTACATATTCCAAAAGTAATCAATGGGTCATATTCTACAACAAAGTTAATGGTCTTTCGAAACCCATTAATCTTTCGGACCTCCTTTACATTAA